TATAATATCCAATAAAACTAAATTGTTCTTCGATATTACTATTCTTTTCGCATCATATCTGTTTTGCATTTGGTTTTACTTTTTTACTTGCTTTGTGTGCTCAGTGAAGTGTGGCAACTCGAACCGTTGCAAATGGGTGCGAAATTCTACGCTGAAACCAGTCGATCGGTCAGGTCAACCGTTTAAACACATAATTATAGATATATATTTTGGTGAGCCTAAACAACCGTTTTCATGTAGGTATTTTGCCTATCGCACAGTAGTTCTCACCAACAACTGGCGAAAATCTGCGGACATTGAATTCCTCTGTATGTAGTTACATTTTCAACTACGACTGATGCTCACGTTAACTGGTTCATTTGTTTGGCTTTAGTATGATTACTTACTAATGATATATATATATATATATATATATATATATATATATATATATATATATATATATATATATATATATATATATAATGTTTAGGTAGTATCCGTCACTAAAAGCAGGCATGTTTTAAAAAATTAGTGTCACTATGTTACAGTTCAAAAGCATATGTAATTGTTAAGTGATGCATACAAATATATATTACTGAATTGAATATGAGATAAAGTTAAGAAAATCAGTACAACAATTAAAGCTATTTGAAATAATGACAGCTTATGAGAGGCTTAGGGGAAGAAAAAATCATCAGACTTTTACAATGAAGTAATGATGACGAAGGTAAGGAAAGCGTGTTTCTGCGAACTTCTTCTGAACACATATTTGTCCTTCGATGGCTTTGTGTATATGTAGAAAACGAAATTTTAAGGTATATTTATGACAATGACTTCATTTTGTTACTATCTGAAATTCTGAGCATATATTCATTGTTATGCATAAATATAGTATTTTATTTGCCTAGTATTCCTGTAACATTCAAGTGCATACTAATGACAGTTCGATTTACATATATGCTAAATACTGCACTGAAGATGTTATCTAGAAGGACGACGAAAGCTCTGCAACTAAACTATCCAGCTCAGAGAACACTATTAATTGCAAATCTACTTGTGTCTTTTGTTAATCCGTTACTTTTAAAGGTTATTGGTGCTGTCATGGGCAGTATTCTCATCAAAAGTCAAAGCTTTTGTAAAAAAATATATTTGTAAAATCTCAGCGAGATTGAAATGAGCAATCCCAACGTTTTATTCGGCAATCTGGTCCGAACTTCTTCAGGGAAATTAATCGAAATTAACATAACAGAGGTTTATATATAAAAGGAACAGTTTATTTGAAAGCCGAAGCTGTTTTGCTCTGTCTGCGATGCTTAACAATTTGTTTTTATGTGACTTTTCTGTTTCTCATGTTGAGTTCCTGCTTTTCATCAAGATCACGTGCATCTCTTGAAATTGTTAAGCTATCGGTATTTGGACATCGTCAAATGGTTGTAGCCATAGTGGAGTTCTTTTTGAGTTAATGAATTTATCAAACAGTATTAATTTTGCGAATGAATAAGTTGTCAGTTCTATGCGTTGTTGAAAGATAATGTTGCTAGTTAAAATTAACTGTATTTATTTAATAATCCCTTGGGTTCCAAGGGGAACATAAGGATTCAATCTAGGTGCATCTCCATTTCATCTTGTCCTTCTCAGTCGTTATTATCTGGTGCCACAATTGCCTGTAATATACTTATCTTCTCCTCACATGATCATCTGCTCCATATCACTTTCAGACGTATGTCCAACTCTATGTTTCTCATTCCGGCTCCACTTGCGGGCTTAGCGCGTGATGTCACTCAATCGTCTCTTCAGTGTGTTACCAATACATCTTCATTTTCCTCGACATATTTGTCTAGCAGTTGGTTCTCGGTTGGCTCGTTGGCGTAGTTCCCTGTTGCTAATCTTTGCTCACTGGCCACATCTTCAGTATATAGAGCCAGCGATGGTAGATGTAGACAAAAGTTGGCAACAGGCTGATTTGAAATGCTTTTTGTAATTATTATTATTATTGTATCCTTTAGTTCCTAGAGGAACATAGGGCTTCAGCTGCGCACCTCCATTGCCTTCGGTTTTCTGACAACTTTTTCACCATGCTCCAGGTCTGTCCACATGCTTTCATCTCCTCCTCGCATGACCTCCTCCAAGTCACCCTTGGACGACCAACTCGCCGCCTCCCTTTCGGGTTCCACTCGAGGGCTTGTCTAGTGATGTCACTTGATGGTTTCCTCAGCGTATGGCCAATCCATCTCCATTTCTTTCTGCCTATTTGTTTCACAATCGGTTCCTGATTGGTTCGCTCCCAGAGATCCCTGTTGCTGATCTTTTCTGGCCATCTGATCTTGAGTATTGAGCGGAGACAGCTGTTAATGAAGGTTTGAAGTTTGTTTGAGATGCTCTTTATGACTCGCCAAGTCTCTGATCCGTATAGTAGCACTGACTTCACATTGGAGTTGAAAATCCGGATCTTATTTTTGATGCTGAGTGCTGTTGACCTCCACACAGATTTGAGAGTAATGAAAGCTTGTCTTGCTTTTCCGATTCTGGCTTTGATGTCCTCGTCAGTTCCGCCTGTAGTTGAGACGATGCTTCCCAGGTAGGTGAAGGAGGTTGTTTCTTTCAGGTTCTTCCCATTTATGCTGATTGTTGTCTGTTGTTGTTGTTGATGTTGGCTAGGAATCTTCATCATCTCTGTTTTATCTATGTTCACGTGAAGTCCTATCTTTGATGCTTCTTCTGCCAACTTGTTACTTTTCACTTGCATATCTTCCAGTTTATGGGAAATCAGACATATATCATCGGCGAAATCCAGATCCTCCAAGTCTTTTGTGTCAGTCCATTTTATGCCTGTTCCCTCGTTGGTTGCCGTTGTCTGTCGCATTATCCAATCAATTGCAATCAGGAAGATCATTGGTGATAGTAGACAGCCTTGCCTCACTCCCGTCCTCACTTCGAAGGCTTCCGTAAGTTTCCCGTTGTGGATTACTTGGCATGCAGCATTGTCGTATAACTGTTGGATGAGATGTATAATTGTCGATGGGACCCCGTAGTAGCGAAGTAGTTTCCAAATGACCTCTCGATCGACGCTGTCGAAGGCCTTTTCAAAGTCGATGAAGTTGAGATAGAGAGGTGACTGCCATTCCAAGCTTTGTTCAATGATGATCCGTAGAGTGGCGATTTGATCAATACATGATTTGTTTCTCCTGAATCCAGCCTGTTCCGGACGAAGTTTTTCATCTAGGGCTTGTTTGATTCTCTCCAGGATGATGCGACTTAGTATCTTGCTTGGAATGGACAGAAGCATAATTCCACGCCAGTTTTTACATTGACTTAAGTCTCCTTTCTTTGGAAGTTTGAATAAGTAACCGTTCTTCCAATCCTCGGGTACTTTGCCCTCTTTCCACACCTTCTCCAGCAGTGGTGTCATCAAGTCCGCTGTTGTCTCTGGGTCTATTTTCAAAGCCTCTGCTGGGATTCCATCTGGTCCCGGTGTTTTCCCAGCTTTAAGCATCTTGATTGCATTCAGGACTTCTGATTTCGTCGGGGGGTCAGTGTTCACTGGTAGTTCTGCTTCCGTTGTTGGTATTGCTGGACGTGTTGTAGGTGGCGGACGATTTAGAAGTCTTTTGAAGTGTTCAACCCAGTGCTTTCTCTGTTCCACCTCTTTGGTGATTGACTTTCCATTGTCGTCCTTTATTGGCTTAATCTGTGTCGAACGTTTGCCCGAAAGGTTCCTAGTTGTTTGGTAGAGTGTGGCGAGGTCTCCTTTGCCTGCAGCTTGTTCTGCTTCGTTTGCCATGGTTTCATAATATTTTCTTTTGTCTTCCCTGGCACTCTTCTTCACTCTTTTGTTCAGTGTATTGTAGCTTGCATTCAGCTCCTGTTTTTGTTGCTCGTCAGTGCACTGGATAATCTTTTGTTTCACTGTCCTTCTCTCTTCTATTAGTTTCCAAGTGTCCGTAGTGAGCCACTGTTTGTCCTGTCTCTTTTTTCTGCCTAGAATTTCTATGCAGGTTTGGCTCCACACCGTTTTCAAGTTGTTCCAGTGCTTTTCGACGCTGACCTTTTCGCTGGTGTTGATTTGTATCTCAGCTTTGTCCTTTATGCTTGCAATGAAGATGTCCTTTGTAGCCTGGTCCTTCAGCTTTTGAGTGTTGAACTTGGCTTGTGGTCTATCTGCAGCTCCTGATTCCCTGAAAGCTTTTAATTTGATTTGGATTGTCCCGCTTTTTGTAATACGTTCACCAAATTAGATTCAGGTGTTCAACAACACTAATGCCAAATCAATGCTTCTATAAGACTCAGAGATTTGGCTTTTTGTAATACGTTCACCAAATCTCTGAGTCTTATAGAAGCATTGATTTGACATTAGTGTTGTTGAACACCTGAATCTAATTCTTTGTACTGAGTGTAGCAGATTTCCACACTGAAAGTAACTTCAATAAATGTGTTTTGTACCATGGTACCTATAATATGTGAAGTGTTATAAACTATGTTAACTTCTTATGCATTATTGCATTATTATTAGCATTCCTGTAATAAGGTCTTACATAATCATAGAACTCTCAGTTGTTTATATGTGATAGAGATGTCATTACAGTTGACCTATATTAGGTATTTTATTTTGTCTAAATTTAAGATGATGAGAGAAAAATAAAATGAAAAGAAAGAATTCAGAATTGATTAATGCTCACATTTACTCTTTTACTGTATGATGATAATTAATTGCATTATTTTGTTTCTTGTCTCTTATGTGTAATGCATTTGTTGATAAATTTACTGCATATGACGTGTAATGACAGGCAAAATGATTCACTTAGAGCTATTTCACTCCTTTTTTTTATTACGTACGAATGACCGTTATTATAGCCATAGGACAAATAAATAATAACAAGTATGAATTTCATCCAGTGATTTCATCGTTTGTGTAAAATCCGTACAAGGGCATATTAAGCAATTTATAGCTTTAGATGAATAAGTTATCAGAAAGTAGTTATTGCAATAATAATTTCTCATTTTTACATAATTAATTATAGATCGTCATACCAATGCAGATGAAAATACAGTAAAAGAACATGAACAAAAATTCAAAGAAATAGGCGAAGCCTACACTGTGCTATCAGATCCTGAAAAACGCCGTAAATATGATAATGGTGAACTTTTAGCAGCTGATGGTTTTGATCAAGGTTAGCTTAATTGTTTTTTTTTTTACATGATTAATATCGTTTACAATTAAAATTATTTACTACGTTGATAGTTCATGGGTGGAGTGCTCGTCAGCTGTGCACATGGTCTGGGTTCGATTCCCCCCACCCCCTCCCCCCGAAAGACGTACTACTAAGCGTTGTTTAGTTTATTAACTGGAGCATGAGATTGGTAACCTCATCCCGTAAAAATGCTACCAGCCATACTGAAACTTCAAAGTCTCCAGGCTGAAGCCCTATATTCCGCCTGACACGCAAAGGAATTATATATATATATATATATATATATATATATATATATATATATATATATATATAATTACATTTATTTCACTGGTCATCGTTGAATCAGGTCTGTCTGAGGTAGTGTTTGGTCTTATCATTAGTTTGAATAAAGAAAGAACAGACTATATTCGCAGGATAATATGAGTTCGTTTTATTTCGTGGTTTCTCTTCAAATGCTTACATCCTATATAAATCAACTGCGTTACAAAATTTGTGGATATACATTTTAAAATGATTTCAAGTTACGTCTGTCTATGTCTGTCTGTTTTCGACACAGAACTTTGCACATATCTGCGGCAGTTCAAGTCTCCACACTCAAAGCACACAAAGCAAGAGAAGAATGTAGAAGAAATGTATAATAGGGACAGTAAACAGAGGTGTGAGACAAAGGAAGAGTAATAACGAAGAACAATATAGTTTCATTGGAAATCATAAGTCACAAGGAGTGGATGCATCTGCACCAGCCATTGAGAACAATTTTGAGCCATATCACCAATTGTTTCCAACCATCCGTTCTTACCGTCGCGAGGACCCCAACCAGGAAGCCAGTCTACACCTTCCTACGTGACTTAAACTAACTGTTGTTGATTTCATTGACTGGTACCATGTTTTGGTTTGACCACCACTGGTCTTTTTCCAGCTCGATCCTTTTTCAGCTAACACTGCCAATTGTCGAGGAAGGCGATGGTTAGGCATACGTAACACATGTCCTAACCATCTCAGTCTTTGTAACTTCACAGCCTCGTCTATTGATTTTCCCTCCCACCTACCTAGCACTCGACCTCAATATTGCTCACCTTATTATACCACTTCACACGGGAGATGGAGCACAGGCACCTATGATCAAACACAGGTAGTCTTTTCATGTCTTCCACTTTCAACAACCAGGTCTCACAGCTAGCCATAAAGGAGGACGGAGCGGACTGGTGAGCAGTACACACGCCCTTTGGTCGATAGCTGGCTATCAAGTCTACGCCAGAGATGGCGTAACCTGGCATATGCGAAACATTTCAAGTCATAGACAGAAAGTATAAGCAACATAGTTTCAAAGATAATGTAAGTGGACGAATTATTCAGTGTTAAAAGCGTAATTATTTATATAGTAATTAGACAAAGGGATGGAGTTCTGATTACTCCTGAAAACAAGGATGGACTAGAAAGTGCGCAAGATAGAACAATAAAGTGAATTCAGACATATTATGATGGAAAGTTTAGGAGGTTAGGGGTGAATAATGAAGTAAAATTGATAAAATAATTAAGTAAATTTAGAATCCTAATAATGAGTTCAACTCAGTGAGTGAAAATCAAAATGAAAATTGAGTAGAGTGGAGTGTTACGCAACAGAAGAAAACACAAAGCACACGAACAAAACAGTTATGGTTACCAGGGTAATGAGAGACTAGCCACAATCTCTTTCTGTAGACATAGGTTGGGTCGAAGTCTTCTGATAGCCATAGCTTCTGCGATCCAAAGTGACCTTGGTTTTCTTTTTGTATTGATTATTTTGAAAGCCTAACTAATTTTCAGTGTATGTCTCGTGCCAATTAGGTGCCTGGCAACTGCACTTGAGAGCACTTTCCTTCCTTTCAAACGGAGACTTTTAGGGATATGTGCAGAGGATCTAGTAGACGCTGTCTCCATTCAGTCCTTCCTATGTACTTGCTGCTGCAGGCGCAGGTGACTTGGTAAACGCAGCTGGAGTTGACATGCTGAGCAAGATACTGATATACGTTTGACTGGGTTAACCAGCATACTGAGTCTGGCTGCGGGAAGTGTTTTTTTTATTCTTTCTAGCGTACAAAGGCGAAAAAGTATCCATAAGAACGGACAAAAGAATTAAAGGTGCATTGACAAGATTTGTATAGACAGGTATTATAATTGACCTAAAAACAGTAGATGTGTTTCGTTGTTGCTAAGTTAATTAACATACAAAAGTTATTGTTGTCCAGTAATACGTGCATTGACACTAACACTAACTTCACATATTAATGCTTTGCCCCAGTAAGCCTCCATTTGGGTTCTTTTAGTATAACATATTGATGCAACTGTATTTACCAGTTTGCCAGCATATTTTACATTCATTTCATAACCATTAAAAGTGAAAGACTTAAAAAAGGCTGATTGTCTTTGACCACAAATGTTTACGTTCTATTTTCCGTATTAAATGGTAAAATGTGCTGAGAAATATTCATGTTAGGCTTAGGGGAAGTCAATCGATTGAGATGGCTAGGACATGTGTTACGCATACCTAGCAATGTTAGTTGACATAGGATTTGGTTGAGGAAAAGTTGGTGGTAGTCAGATCAAAAGATGGTATCAATCCCTGAAGCCTTTGATTGAGGGTGGTTTGGGCCGCCTATGGTTATATGGATATGGATTGTCAGTTTACGCTCACTGAGGGAATAATCTGACTGCTCTTTCTTCGTCACATCTGAAGACCAACTGCTTCTTTACTTTTTACTTCATTTAACCTATTTGGGGATTAAAATAAATGTGTTGCAAGTTCAACTGTCTGAGATCCCTGTCGTTGTCAGACTGGTCTTTATGATTAGCGCTAATTGAATATATCTAGGAAATCGAGTTTTACTGTAGAGCTTACATTTGAAAGAAAAGTCAGTTACATTTTTTGTTCACATGATACTTATTGGTTGAAGTAAAATTAACACTTGCACACTATTTGTGTATTGCATATCATCCGTTAAATTATCGATCTGCGGATCTTGTTGTGATAGTTTGAAATCTCAACTTCAACTTTCGTTTTCCGTGGGTAAAATCAGTCTTGCTAAGAGGTTTACTCAATAGTAGTCAATGTGTACGTCTTCTAACTCGAATGTTTTGGGTTCGGTTCCCAGTAGGTTCCATAAGTGCGCACTGCTGAAGACTCGTAAACTAGAATGAAACAGCTGTCCAATATCCCCTGGTGTTCACTGAATATTCGATAACTGACATTAGTTCGTGAATTTCCTTGAAACCAACTATATCCCTGCAAGCCAACCCGGAGATGCAGACTCCCGGGTTGGGGGCCTCGGGACTGACTCTAGGAATCAATGGCTGGAGACAATAGGTGAGTGACATGGCTCAAAGTGATCGTTGTCAATGGCGCAGATGTATTCAGTCTCTGTAATCTTTCATATTCCTTTCTACCATTACCCATTCTGTTTCACTCTTATACTTGTCAAACTCTATTGATTCTCTTCACTCATCTTCTTGTCTACCTTTGTGTGCTATTTGGAACGTGGCAACTCGAACTGCCGCACTTCGGTGCCAAGTTCTATGTTGAATCCAGACAGACAGAAACCAACACTTAAATGACACACATTTCTCCAATTGTTCACTAGTGATTGTGTCTGTTATAAATATTAGAGCGAGAGAGTACTTACTTATGTTGACCTGACGTCATCACCCTTCTAATTGATGGGAATTATGTTTCTGTGTTACAGTTTATTGTGGCTACATTTCTTACACGTATAATTGTTTAAACAGTTCAGATTTCCTGCCGGTTAATTAAAAATATTTTTAGGTTTTAATTTCATTCACGGAATAGTGTTCAGTACTCGTATAGATAAAAGTAGGCTGTGTATTATTTGCATTTCATTTCTGGAGTTTCTCAACCTGCTGATTGAACCTTATTTCGAATTGACTGGTGGAATGGAATTAGCAACTATTTGGTTTCTAAATCAATCATTTGTCTTTGTTACCAATGTACTATCCTTTTGTTTTAGTGGTTGTGATGGTAATGAAAATCATGGTTTTGTTTATTAATGTTTACTTCAACGCAAGTACACTATATGGCTGGTCTCTAGGCCGACTAGGAAGGAGATTGCTGTACTTTTTCGTGCATAAGGCAATGTAACTATAAGTTACAGTCATTTAAATTATTTACTTTACAATAACCTATGATTGGATAGAGGATTTCATCATGAGCTGACATCAGTTAGAGAGAACCACTGGAAAACCTGGGAGTACTGGAGAGCTGTTTCGTCCCGGTTTGGGACTCTTCATCAGTACGCACCCACCGTCCAGTACTCCCAGGCTTTCCAGTGGTTCTGTAACTGATGTCAACTCATGAGGAAATCCTCCATCCAATCAAACAAAATCCCTGCGAAACCAATGAGTTACTATAATGTTATTTGATGGGTAGTGACTAGCACTGGAATTCAAGATCTGTGTATATCATCCTATTTGAGGCTCATCAACTGGACATATAGGGGCAGTCTTCGGTGAATGATACTGTACCCACTGAGACTTGAACCCAGCAGCCATCATTTCAGACTCCAATAAGTTGCTAGTGAACGATATAAAGTCTATGTTCTGATTAGTTACCCCGTGCTTCTAAAGATCCACTGGCTTGACTTAATGTATGTTAAAGTGAATTATCTGTTTTACAAGACACATTGGAGAAGTGCGGGGGGGGGAGGGGAGGAAATGAATCATAATATGTTACCTCATGTTATAAGACTTTTCAATATGCAAAAGACACTTCTTTATTAGTTAGTGGTTACTGAACGAAGAGTAAATGAAGACCGTTCGTCTATTACGTCTCTAAGGTAGGTTGAGTTTTATGGATCAGTTGACGTAATCATACAGTCAACATACAATCTAGGCGTGATTTTTCAGTTTCACATATCTTCTTTCATCCAGGACATTATGAAAGCTCCTTACAGGTTTGTTATTAATCGCTAGATAGCTAAGTGATTAAATTGTCAGCCTATAACTCAGCAGGAAAATGCAACAATCCAAGTTGATATACTTCGAAAAAGGAAATCAATTGAATTAAAACTTCGGACAACAAAGTTATCCAGGCAAGAGAATAACTGGATAAAGATTAGTGAAAATATTTTCAATATGTGAATGATAACAAGAAGCGAATAAATACATCTATCCCATTGTGAACAATCTTGTGACATATTGCGAAGTCTCAAACTATTGATTATGAACATTCCAAGAATCCCATTGATGCTACTATAAATTTTAAGATGATTGGGACGGTTTGTATCACTACTCGACTTGATATTTTGTGATAAAACGCGCGTGTACAACAGAGCCACAACTTCTGTTTAGAATGCTGATGACTGGTATTCTGTATTATGCTGATTATTATTCCCTTAAGTTCTGAGTGGAACGTAAGGTTCCAGCAGCACATCTCCATTTCGCACTATTCTCTGCAGTCTCGTTTGGCTGGCCCTGTGACTGCCCATAGGTTTTCATCTCCTCCAAGTCACCCTCACACACTCACTTGGTTCCACTCGAGATCCTAGCTCGCAATTTCACTCAGCAGTCTCCTCAACGTGTGTCCAAGCAGTTTCCATTTTCTTCTGCATGTATGTTGGGCCAATAGGTTTTTGATTGGTCCTCCGTCTGCTAGATTCTCATATTGCTAATTCTTTCTCATTTGCTATGTGGTCTTCTGTATGGAGCCAGGGCAGTTGTTGATAGAAGTCTGAAGTCTGTTGAAAATGCTTTGGGTGATGCACCAAGTCTTTTTGAAGCATACAGAAGCATTAATTTTACAAAAATGTTGACGTTCTGGGTCTTCTTATTCGTACTTAGTTCAGCAGACTCCACACTGATTTCACTTTAATGTTGATGGCGTTGATATCCTCATATGTATTGCGTGTAGTTGAAACTTTGGTACCTAAATACATAAAATAGGTGATTTCTTTCAAATTCCTCCCATTGATAGTGATTTATGGTTGTTGTTGTTGTTGTTGGTTAGGTGTCCTCATCACCTCTATCTTCTATGTTCATCTGAAGTCCTGTCTTCTTGTGTTAATGTGTTGGCTTCCTTCTGTTGATTTTCGAGTTTGCGTGACAATAAACATAAGTCGTCCGCCAAGTCTAAATGTTTTTAGGGTCTTGTCGACTCAACGTGTTCCTTTCTTCTAACTTCCCACGGTCTCCTGCTTGATCCAGTCCACCACAATCATGAAGATCAATGATGATATTAGGCAATCTTGTTTTATCCCTTGTCTTCACTACAGAGGTTTTGCTGGGTCTTCCGATGTGGATCACTTGACATGTGGTATCATTATATTGCTGTTGAATTAGATTGATTACCTTTGATGTTTAATAAACTTACCAGATATTGAATTATGCTACGCCACACATTGTGTACATCTACCACTGAATTGTCTCCCTTTATACTCGAAGAAAATTTTTACCCTGTAGTCATTATGTATTGTCGAGGTGTCCACATTGCCATTCTATAACTAAACATCATTGTTGCATATAAGTATAAAACTTGGGCACTGTGGTAGAGTATAACTCCATTATGGATAAGATTTTATTTCGGTAAATCACACAGTGTTGTACGGTTATATTAAATGATGATGTTTCGAGCACAAACTGTTGCTCATTTCATATCAACTTGATATGATTATTTATTGTTTATAATCATATCAATATCATATGATTGATATGATTATGAACAATAAATTTTGTCCGAAACGTCACCGAGTAAATAATACTGTCGCACTATGTGATACATCTAATAAACAAACTAATATGAAAGATTCAATTTATCTGAAGTGTGCAGCGAAATTGCGCAACACATTTCGAACATTCTGATCACACATACACCTGTCGTATGTAAATAATAGGCAACAGGACATAAAATATCAGAACTTTTATCATTATAGGTCAAAATGTTTGCGGGCCATAAAAATGGATAAGAAAAAGAAGGATGAAATTAGTGCTGGTTCTAAACCGAAGCAGGTTCAGAGTCAATAACAAATAATTTTTGAACGCACAAAACAGGTTGAAGTGTTTTAATGACTGAGATTTCGACAGATTTCAGTATGTGATCGAGACGTGTATTGTAATTGGGTTATTGAAAAACCCTGTTGAAATCTTCTTTATGACCTGTCTCTATTATGCGTTTTGTGATAGATGGCGTTAGACGTCTATTTCTGGGAAATAATTGAACCAGGTAATTTTATTAACTGTCCTTACAACCACTTATGAGCGTGTTCTGTAACCCTGATCTGCAAAGGTTGACGGGTCTTTCGTGTGTACGTGTAGATTTTCGAAAGCATCCGGAAGTAGTACTATCGTTTTCGTTATGAAAATCAGTTTCTCTCTATATTAAACTCTATTAAGTGCTTATTTGAATCTGAATCTGTTCACTCTTGAACACAGCAAAGATAAATTTAAATCTGATTGTTTTATCAGAGTTCGCAAACCCAATTTATTGCTTTAATTGATACCTTACTTGTTTCTTTTTGTTTCCTCTAAAAGGCAATGCAGCTGCTAGGAATCTGTTCACTCAAGTCTTTCCTGGTTTCGGCACATCTACAGTTCATTTTTATTTCGGTTAGACAAAACAACCATATGAATGCGTGTGTCTAGGGTGATGATAAATATTTGTAATGCTTCCCCCCCCCCTGTCTGTCTCTGATGGTTGTATATCAGAGCCTGTTGTGGAGGTTGTTATTATACCCCTTCAGTGTACATGTTTATTTTGCTTTGTGTAAAACTTTGCAATAATGGGATGGCCTGATATGTGTGTGTGTGTGCGTGTACAAGATGATTTAATCGAAATATTAGTCAGTTTTTTTTGTTTTCTGTTTCCGTGTTGTCTATTATCGCCAATCTACTCATCTCACCTGCGATTACCTGCATATATATACAAACTACACATTCAGGTTTACAGTACGCTGCTATTGGAATAGAGTCACACACACTTCTTTTTAAGACAATTTGTTTTCATCTAGTTACCCCTAGTGTTTTTTCTTTCGATTTTCTATTCATAAGAAAAAAGAAAATTAAATAGGTTTTACCATTTCCGTGTATGCTGAAGCGAAAAAGGCTTTTAAATTGATTTCAAAGTGTTTTTATCGCCTGTTTTTTCTCTCTTGTAATCTAGTCCAGAGTTTGTCACGATTTAGAAAACTTTATAAGCACAATTTTCAATGGCTTGTTACTTTCCTTCGAATGATGTACTATTGTAACGATAGAAGACAAGCGCAAGGCAACAAATCGTTTATTGAAGAAATCAAGAGATATTTATATATTTTTATGTACATCATTATTCGATATTAGTAGCAGGGAAACAGCGCTGAAAGTTATTCTGTGATCTCTTTGTGGCCGTTTTTTTAGAAAGAAAGGCCATGTATCTGCGAATCGTATTTGCACATGTCAAGTTTCTGCCGCGATTGGTTGATGAGTTCCCCAAAGTTAAGCTTTGTTATTGTTTTTTCTCGTGACCCCGATTCGGGACGTAAACACTGACGTAAATTGTTGTCTACAATTTTGACTTGCAGACAACTGCCACCACAACTGTGTACTACAAACATTCCACGAATTTTAATTAGGGAATTTTTATAAGTGATTTGTTGACTGACTCGAGTTGTTCTTCGAAATCTAATTATGCATTGATTTCTCACTTAGTAGAAAAGCATTGTAAACCGGAGAGCGCTGGTATTTAATGGGCGCAGAAGGTGTTTGTGTGTGTAGTTTCGGTGATGTTGGTTTCATGAATTTTGTGATGAAACCTTCAGGGTAATAGTTCTCAGTGAGGAACCGTTTTTAGAGTTTCTCTAACTCCTCTTCTGTAGTGGATTCCATGGTTCATTGATCGGATCCATTTTGGGTCTGTATGTCTAGGCGCACCCAAGTGTAAAAGTTTGCGGTCTGTCTATGGGTACATTTTTTAAGTGTTCTCTTGTCATATCTTGTGAGTTGAACGCAAAGGAAGGATATTTTGAGTCGAAAACTTTTAAGTTGACTTTTTTGTACATAGTAGTAGCTGTTGAAATCTGGAATGCACGAAAATAGTGAGTTGGCGGGGATCACAGTGTCGAAATTCCTAAGTGTAGCAACGTTACTTAGCAAATATGACCATCTTTCCACCGGAGGGGAAGTTCCGTATGGTTACTGTGATAAATTGAGGCACTAAATTCCAGTGTTAAGTGGGTAAGTAAGACCATTCATCACTTTTCGAGTTCCGTGTCATTTAGAAAGCAAAGTTGCAGGGCAGGTTGAAGAGATGTTGTAGGATGACATTATTGAACAAGCCGATAGCCCACATAGTTCTACAGCGCTATTAGTGAAGAAAAGCAACGGGGAATACAGATTTTGTGTTGGTTTCAGACAACAGAACAGCATAACAGCTGGGACTGTGCGATGCCAATCATAGCAGAGAATTTAGATCGCCTACAAGGTGCAGAGCTGTTCACAGTCTTAGATCTGCAATCGGGGTACTGGCAACTACCAGTCAAGCAGGGAGAAGACAGCGTTCTTTATGGAACAGAAGCAATATCTGTTTAAACACATGTTTTTTGGATTGCCAGGTGTCCGTCTACATTTAGACGATTAATTACGTCGATCCTAAAGAATGTGAGGAACGCCGAAGTCTATGGAGATGATCCAGTGATATACAGGAGGAGCAAGACTAACCACGTGGAGCTTGTAGGTGCAATTCTAAGATTCATCGAAGGATTCGGTCTACACATCAACAAGGCTAAATCTCAGGTTGCCAAGGAGAATGATACGCTTTTAGAGCATAAGGTAGGAAAGGGCAAAATAACACCGCTCCCGAAAAAATTTTAACAATCATGTCCATCGAACCCCAAATTTCGATTTTTGGCTTCATGAGTTAGGTATCAAGAAAATTAGAACAATGCTATATCATCCACAGAAGAGTGTCTTCATAGAGAGAAGTAAACCGCACCTTAAAAGAGTGCCCTCCACAAAGAGTGGTAACTAGGAGACAGGGCTTCTGCTGAATCTGCTAGCATATCGTGAGTTCGTTCAAGAAACGACGAAGGAAGCACTGTTTCAGTTGATATATGGGAGGAGAACACGAATACCGATATATATCAAGACCTGGCCCCGCCAACAGCAGGAAGGTATGACGAGATGGCGGACGCGACCAAAGAGGTCATCAGAAACGTTTCATGGAAACGGAGAATGGATGCCGTGAAATCTGAATACAGGGTAAAGGGAAGTGCCATGCGAATGGTCCGGGGTTCGGTCCCCTACCAACGCACACCTGATATCTATGGTTGGCCTGCAAAACTTGAGCTACCGATATCACATGCTGAAAATTCCATACCTGTGCCAAAAATACGGTGTGTAATCAAAAGAATTTGGTTACTTACAGGAAATAAAGATACACGTTTTGACTCGCACTGCTTTGAGGGTTAAGATATTCTTTCTTAATATCTGTATTGGACCTCATTACGGAGTTATAAAAATCGAAATTTAGTTGTCTGGCAGTAAAGCAACAGTATTCAATGCTTGTGAGGCTTTGTGACAGACAATCATGCGGGGCGTAAAATATGCCATACGCAGGCACCACTTAAAGTTTCGTGAAACCCAACTACCACAGCATATTTCTACGTATTAGGCTATATGTCACAGACGCTGTTTGAGTGCCCGTGACACTATCAACATCACTGGCTTATGCACAAGTCGAAAGCTTTTGGTGTGTCAGGTGAATAAGTAGCAAAAGCAGATGTGCGTGTACAGATCCATTGTAAGGAAATGTAAGTCGGGTCTTGCTGCCTATATGACTGAAGTACGGTGCCAATGGGGTTAATGGGCATGCGTTTTAGACGCCACTGTGATTAAGACAGACGATCAGCAGCTATTAGAATTTTCATCATAGGTGGTGGGGATTACAACCATTACGGTTAGCGGGAGAACGATGGCATTTTCAGTTAGTGAAGCCTTTGGTGCTCATGCATAGGATGGTGAAGAATTTAGAGCCGCTAACTGGGTCATTGTTGTGAGAGATCCGCTGAGATGATCAAGAATGTCCACTGAAGAAGGTATAAAGAGATGATCCTTCCGACATTAGAACCATACTTGGTTGGCTCCTCATTGAACCGATGGGTTACAACAGATACACCCGAAGAATCGTGAATTGAATCTCACAAAGATAAAAAATTATCGTGAAGTGATACATCAATGAGGTGTTTTTACAGCTGAACTTTGGTTACCTAATTTTCCTTTACAGCACTTGTTCCGTATTCAGAAAACTACATAGCCTGTATAGCTGCTTCACAACACCGTCAAGGTGATTTGAATTTTGACGTTGTCATTGCTTAATGGAACAGCCAAGTACTGAAATGTAATTGTCTTTTTACTGCCTTTGAAAAGTTCCGTGATTGCGCGTGCCTCAACTTATTTTTGCATCGGCTATTCAGTAGAACGTGGAGATCTGTCTCCCATCATCAGGTCATTATCTGCCAAATTTCTTTTCTCATTCACATGTTTTTCGACCAATATTGATATGTTGTGATGATCACTCTCAGATCTGGTGGTTATCTAACATTTGATATCAGCGCTTAGTGTGAGGCTGCCATTTTGTAAATCTGTAAATTTTAAATATTAAACATATCCATACGACTTTTGATGGCCTGATGAAGTTTTATTGCTTACTTCAATATTCTGGTGGTTCTGTGGATCCCTATTGATTTAATGTTGTTGGAATTCCTACACGGGATATATCATGATAGATGATTTATTTCGAAATCAAAACGACAGTTCCTCTGGACCTCGAAAAGAAGGGGATCGTTACCAATTTTTTCCTTGAGGTAACAACCATAGTTTCTATACCCAGCACCATTTTAATGAGTCTGTTAGGGAACCATTCATGATATTTGGCGGATCTTACTACAAATCTTCCCCTTTGACCTTAGAATTCAGTAACTCAAGATGTCAGTTTATTTTGAAGGAATGTTTGATTTTCACAAGGGCTGAACTACTACCAAGATTTGCACTCCGATCTGCACAATAAGATGGTTTAGACCGTCCGGAAATGTGTCTGAAACGAGGTAATAGGGGGACAGACAGAATAAAATAAGACAGTGGGCAAAGCCATGTAAAATGAAGCAATTATATATAAGATTCAGATAAGACAAGCCGGGGAAAACTGATATGAAGGAGAAGAAAGACTGCGAATATACATCGGAAAACCCGAAAATAAATAAACCTAAAGGGATAGTAGTAAGCTCACACTTACTGAGGTTAGTATGAATTTCCGCTTTAGTGATTTATATTGGAAGTATATGTTCGGGGACACGTCGACTCCTAGCGCGAAGCCCTCGACGATATCTGAAAATGTGTGTATCCCTGATTCTACTAACAGCCGCCATCGTATAAATTATATGTGGGGGATAGTTGTGGCGCCATTGCCATCCATCGCAGATGGACCGCTCCTCCCACAGGTGTAGAAAACCCATTCGTTTCCGCATCGGTATATAAACAACGCATGGAATGGTGGCCAGTGATTTGCACAAATGGCGAACTCAAAGCAACTGGACCATCCATGTGTTACAGCGAGTTTCCCTAGGTCTTCAGTGGAAGGATC